TGGGATAAACACTGGAGATTCACGACCTCGAGCGCATATTCTAAGCGCCTTGGCGAACAGGTAGTTGACTCACCGGAGCTGTGGCGCTGCATTGCTCGGTATAAGGGACCTCTTTTTTGGTTCATTAGTGTGGTGTATTTGGATGAAGCGAAATAGGTTTATTTTTTCAGCTGAAACGTTGGTTAGCGAGAGTACTCAGGATATGGCGGACAGGATGGACGGAAGTCAGGAATGCTGCTAACTGGAAGAAGGTGGATCACTCGGGTGCTGTGGAGGATCCTAGACATTCAAAAAAATGGTGCCCTCTTTCTGAAAGCTGGATGAAGTTCAACACAGATGGTGGTCGGGATTTAAATTCGGGAGCCGTCACTTGTGGCGGGGTGTTACGAGATTCAAATGGTCACTGGATTACGGGTTTCTCGAGAGCTTCGGGGCGTTGCTCGGTGTTAGATGCCGAGCTCTGGGGAGTCTATGAGAGCCTGCGAATTGCATGGGACTTGGGAATTCGGAAGTTGATCGTAGAGATGGATTGCAGAGAAGCTTTGAACCATCTGTTGCAAGGAGAGGAGATGGAGCAAATATCTCATATTGGCTCCCACCTTATTGAATTAATCTCGAGAAATTGGCAGGTCCATTTTGTCCATACCTTTCGTGAGGGGAACAAGACTGCTGATGCCATGGCGAAAGCCGGAAGGATGCATCCGGTGGGGCTAGTTCAATATGCACTGCATCGACTGTGGATCGTCTGCTTGAAGAAGATTTGTCTCTGGTTGCTGCTAGCTAGTTACTGCTTTCATCCCACTTGTATTAAAAAAAAATTGTTGTCTGCCTCCCCACTACTCCACTGCAGCAAAGCAGAAATGAAAGCAGCCGGCTATGACTCCACAGCAACAACGTATCACAGTAAAGCAAAGCTTGAAGGCGACCCAACGGTGATTTGTACTTGGAATTTAAGAATCGAGTATTTGAGAATTTAGAGATTTAAGTTTAGAGGTTCAAGGCGACCACAAGGACAATGGTCGGTCAATAAGTGTATGGTAACGAATGCATGGTTGTTTGGTGAAAGAGGTAGTGGCTGGAGATGATCGACGACACTATTGGGATTTAAATTAGAGATTTGAGGGTTTAATGAGTTTTTTGGTATTTTACGGTGAGCAAAATTCGAATAGACTAAAAAATTGATTTTTTTAATTTCAAATTATTCTAGTCGAGTTATTCAAGTAACTCGAATTATTAATTCGATTTTTGAGTTTGAGTCGAGTTGAAATTTGAAAATTTTGAATTACTCGAAAAACTGAAATTTTGATTTAGTATTTGATAGTTTTACGATTTACTCCTTGATTTTATTATTAATTCAATTTATCATTTGTTTTAAGTCAATTTTTTACTAAATTTGAACCACGTGCTCTAAACCATAACAAAATACATATGTATTTTCAATTATTTATAATAAATTTTCTATTTTTCAATTTAATCCTTCAATTTTTTATAATTTCCTTGTTTCTTCAATTCATCCTTTTTTTTATCAAATTTGAACCACATGCTCATATACCATTATAGAATATATATAACTTTAATTCTTATTTTTTCGAAAAATATACTCTTTTTTTATTTAGCCCCTTAACTTTGCATTTTACTCAATTTGATTTTTTGACTACAATTGTTTGCAAATTATTTCTTTTTATTAATTATTTGACTCCTTTATATTCCCATCAATATTTTACCCTCAAAATACTTTCTTTAAAATATAATAATGTAAATATATTTTATAATATTAGATTGTATTCGATATATTAAATAACATTATAATGTGAAAAGAATAGTATAAATAATTATAAAAAAATTATTATAGAAACTCAAATAAATCGACTCGAATAACTTAAATTTCTTAAACTCGACTCAAATAAAAAAGTCAACTTAAATTCGAGTTATAAAATAGACTTGTCAACTCGAATAGCTCAATTTTTTGACTCGACTCGATCGAATACTAACCCATAATTTTAGAACGATTTTGAGATGTTATTTTAAAAAATAAATATTTAAAATTTTATAAAGGTGGCACGTGTTATTTAATGAAAGAATTTAATGACGATGACAGTCTAAGCATCTAAAAGTGTAACATTAGAAAAGTTAAAAAACAATTTAATCACTTAAGTAAAAAAATGATATTATTTGGGCACTTAGTTTTATGTAATTTAATATATTTTTAGTCAGTCTAGAAATACAAGTCAAATGAAGTAAATGGTGTAAAACCATGATCATCCGTTTTGTTTATGGTAATTGGTATGATCCAATTCCCATTTGATTCAATAAAGCCGGTTGGTCACCTTCATATCAGTATCTAAGCTGAAGTTACTCCCAACCCTGTTTGCACTCCCAGGTAAGTTTACCATTATACGTGACTTACTTGAACGTATTGTAATAACCATTTTAAAACGAAAAATAAAATTAAAAATAATTATGAATTTATTTTGGGAAATTGATTTTTTTTATAAAATTTGATTTAATTTGAATTTGGAGTGGATATCGACCTTTGGGTTAGAAAGATCGATTACCTAAAAATGTCGTTTAAAGTAATTTTAAGAAAAAATATTTTAAAGATAAAAATTAATCGGTGTTTACCAAATATTTTTAAGAATTCAGGAGTCGATTACGTGTAGGGAAGGGTGAGCACCCCACAACACTCAAAATTGGTACACAATCGCTTATAAGTCGTCTTAAATGTGGAACTTGCAAATTCGAGTAGTGGAACTTGCAAATTCGAGTAGAAAATTGAAGTATGATCCTTTTATTGAATAATTGATTAATTTATTTCGAGTCATGAAATTACACAAAAATGGGCTTGATTTATTTCAAGCTCGTTTTCCGTTTGAATGTCGTCGAATCACACTTCTCCTATCGAGTGGTGATTTTCACACGTATTCTACGACGAGTATTCTTGAAAATATTCGAGCGAGATACATAAAAATAAAAATACTAACAAATAAATGAAGCATTTTGTATTTTTTAAAAGAATACAGAATATATATATATATATGACTCAAAATACAAAATAAATATATACACATGGCACATAAATGGATGATAATAATAAAAAAATGTATAATATATGTACATGGTAAAATACAAAGAAACATACACCCAAACGTGAAATAATCATAGGGACTAAATCATAAGAGAAACAAAACTATAAGGACTAAATATGACCTTAATTATTAAATTACACAGTGACCAAAATGAAATTGAAATAAAATTTAAAGATCAAACTAAAATAATTAAAAGTCTCATCAGGGACTAAAATAAGATACACGTGAAACTAGAAGGAACAAACATGCTATTAACCCGAACACAAATGTCAGCATAATAGTGACTAAATGAATGTGCGATAAAAGTTAAAGTTCAAAGTAAAAGAAATGAAATTTGCATTTAGTGATTGAAATGAAGGGATACAAACATTGAATGGTCCCTGGTGCGATTATCCCTTAACTAGGCGTGCAGCAACTTCGACCCCTAAACAGTGTCGTTTTGTGCTTGGTATAGAAGGGTTCATTTGCCCTATTTTCCTCATTTCTTCTTTCTCCTTTGTTTTCTTAAAACTCTCTACCCTCTCTCTATTTTCAAGCAGTCGGTGATAGGCCCCGTCGTCGACACCGTGATTGCCACCGTCGGCCATCGTAGACGGTGGTCATTGATCTCCAATTTACACAGGTGTATTCGTCTCGACCTCGTGAGTGTAGATTCGGTGTTGGTTTTGCGAAAAACGCTTGCCCTTTTCCGATGAACGGCTACATCCCCAATGAACGAATAAGCGAGATAAGTCTTCTCTTCCCCTTATTCTTTCATTCTCTTTTTATTTCTTTTTCGAACTAATCTCTTGCAATCTCTTTCTTCTTTCGTTTCCTTCGAATCTTTTTTTTTTTTTGCTCGAATCCTCCTTACTCTTCTCTCACAAATTCTTCTCTTTCTTTTCAAACTACTTTCCCCTTTAAAAATGGTTACTGCTTGGTTGCTGATGATGAGGCTATGGCATAGAGGTGATGATGGCTCCCGGGAAATCCGGGATTTTGGATTTACTTTTGATTTTTTATCGGGGTTTTGTTTAGGTTGTGATTTTGACCAGATTTTGTTGATTGTTGATGATGATTGAACAGGGGTTTCGGTCGGGCTGAGGTGGTGGTGAGATGGCTCTAGCTTGGCTCCTCGGTGACGGCGACGGCGCGACTACTGTTGAAGACTGGCATCGGCGAGAGTGAAACAGTGGCTAGGATTATACTTTAGGGTTAGAGCTTGTTTGGGCACGATTGGGCCTGCTGTGTTGTAACATTTGGCCTGCAAAATAATAGAAAAGAAAAGTAAACAATAATAATATTAATATTAAAATTATAAAATAAAACCCAAATGAAAACAGGTGTCAACACTTATAAACTAAATAATTTATTCATTATTATTTATTATAATATTAATTTCATTCACTATTAATTATTTGAATAATCAAAATTGATCAACTTCATTTAGCTTATAATATCATTTCTTTATGGTTTAATGGAAAATAAATCAAAGTCGTTATAAATAAACTAATGCAACTGCTCTTTTTTCCCTCTAAATCATTGTTTGTTTTTTTCTTTTTCTTTTTCATCTTTGATTGATAGGCCACAACATTACTCTTGGGGTGATTGGATCATGGAATTCAAGATTCCGGGAATTTTTTTTTCCATATTCAAATTCCCATGTTTAGATGGGAAATATTCCCAATAGGGAGTAATGATATATTCTCAACAGTAAAAAATTCTCTCTTTTTACTGGGAACGTTAATCTCTTACTTTTCTTAGGTAATATTTTATTTCCATGTGCTGGGCTAAAATACCCTTCATTTTCTCCCAAGCGTTGTTTTTGCCTTCGTGCTCTCTTTGTTATTTTCTTCCCTCTCTTCATTTCATCTTTTCGGTTCTTCTTTAGATGATCTGTAAACCTCTTTCATGGAAAACACATCACAAATACTGATGAACAATCCGGAAGAGTCCAAACCAGATCTCTACCCACAACATCAACGAGAACAAGATATGACAGCCTCGTCGGCGACGATTGACGGAATAGCAGCGTCGGCTCTCTGGTCAGTTCTCCAGAGAGTCCAACAGGTCGCCGAGCGATGTGGTCGTGAATCACAGCGGATCCACGTCGTTGCCGTCAGTAAAACGAAACCCGTCTCCCTCGTTCGCCAAGTGTACGACGCCGGTCATCGATGTTTCTGCGAAAACTACGTCCAAGAACTTGTCGAGAAATCCCTTCAGGTTCTTCCTCCACTTCATTCAAAAGAAAAAGCATCAAACTAGTCAAAAAAAATCATTTCTATTTTGAAAATGATAAAGTACCGAAGTAATAATCATTTCCGTGCTTGCAATCGCAGCTTTCGGATGACATATAGTGGCATTTTATTGGGAATTTGCAGAGCAATAAATTGAAGCCTTTGATTGGTAAGCAAAGCTATGTGTTTTTAGGAACTTTCGATTAAAATGTTCGTGTTTACATCATAGTTTATTATTATTGCTTTTAAGCTGAGCTTTTTTAATGGGTATCTGAAATTGAACTTTTACTTCATTTGGTTTTGCTGGAGGGCAATGTTTGTTGTGTGTTTACTTATTATTCATTGTTATACAGCTGATGTGCCGAACCTCGTCATGGTGGAAACTGTAGATGATGAGAAGGTAATTATGTTCATTTCCATTAGTATAATTGCTATAAACTGTTCCTTTATGTATTGGAGACAGAATTAGAGACAACTTTTTTAATTAATTTATACCTAATTTTGAATCTAGTTTTAGCGAGAATGACTTTATGATTTTGTTTTCTTATATCATTAATCATTATGTCAAAGCTTTCAATTGATAGTGTCAATAACAACATTCATAATGTGGCCAAGTATTTGTGTTTTTTCCTCATTAAACTGAGCATCTTCCTTATTTTGGGCCAGATTACAAATCATCTTAATCGTGCGGTTGGAAACTTTGAAAGTCTTAGTCCAGGTGAACACCAGTGGAGAGGAATGTAAGTAAATTTATTTTTATTACAACGAAAATATATTGTTTTCGTTGAGTTGTGTCAAGGCTTTGCACGTTCAAGCGTGTTGTCATGTATTTGTCTTTAAGTTTGCTAGATAAAACTGGTCTTGTTTCTTTAGCTTCTAGTTCCGTACTATGCTCTATCAACATGGCTATTGGAACCTAGTTCATTGGGGCTAAGTACCTAGTTAGATTAGGTCAAGTATATTTGCTGACAAAGAGCTCCTTTTATCAACACTTGGAGATCGTTTTCATAGTATTTTCCTGCATCATGTTATTGCAGCAAAATCTGGTGTTAGCCTTCAGGTTGTGTGGAACTTGCAAAACATGTTAGTCTAAATTGCCCGAATCTTCAATTTTGTGGATTGATGACAATCGGGATGCCTGATTATACATCAACTCCGGAGAATTTCAAGGTGGCTGAACTTCTTATCTCGGTTTTTCCATCTTTTTCAATCGATTCTTTATTTTTCTAACTATTTTTTGATACCCAGACATTAACAAATTGCCGAAGTGAAGTCTGCAAGGCTCTTGGAATACCAGAAGAACAATGTGAACTGTCAATGAGAATGTCTGGCGACTTTGAGCTAGCTGTAAGGATTGTTTTCCCATTACCATCTAGATAAGGAAAACTTTATATTTGTATGCAATTGGCTTTGTCTATGCTTTAGTACTAAAACATTGTTGTGCAATGTCTGTGCTCCTGCCACATACCGTGCACAAAACCATGCTATGTTACTCAAATTTGGGTGTGTTAGATATGAGTATACTTAATTTTTTTTTCGAAGTTTATCATATATTTCGAGAACTCTTGTAGGGTTGTACCTTTATACTCATGTACCTATTGTGTCATATTCCCTAACCAAACCCCATAGAAGTAGCATTCAATTCTTTTAAAGCTTACGAGAGAACGACTGTCTAATGGATTGTCTCATTGTTTCCGCAGATTGAAATGGGCAGTACCAATGTCAGAGTTGGATCAACCATCTTTGGGGCAATGGAATATCCAAAGAAGAAATGAAACGCTGTATTGTTATTAAACATAATCATCGGGTTGTTATTTTGTTACACCGGGTTGATGTGGTTTGATCCGAGAGAAAGAATACACTGACTGATAGTAGAATCCATTTAACTTGTTTATTCCTTCTAAATAATGCTAATAAAATTGTAATTGTTTGATCTGAAATTCGATTCTTATTGTTCGGTTGGAAAATTAACCTCAAGTACACGAGTTTGAGTCTTTCGTTAAATCAGTTTCTCCTCACAAGGATCCCACAATGAAGTCCTCGCCACCTGCATATCCACGCTCAAATCCAACACACCCAGATTCCCACGCATTCCCCGGCCTCCTCAAAGCTTGCACTTCTCTGTTAGTCTGTTACGCACATCCAAACAAGGTCTCGAGGTCTTTAATTCAATCAATCGAACCAATTCAATTAGAGTCGGCTGATCTAGTGGTTATAAAATTGGAAATCCGAAAAACTGTACTTAAAAACCAAAATTGAAATAAAAAAGACGGTTGAACAAGTTATTTTATGGCTGAGTTAAGTACAAATTAGATTAGGATTGAATATTATTAGCTTGCTTGCTTTTCGTAATCAAGAGTTAAGTACAAATCAAATTTGAACCGAGTATTAATAATTTTATTAAAATATTAGCAAAGATAATGATGAATGACGGTGAAATATAGAATTATAGACAATATGATTTTTAGTGTTATATTTTCTTACTTATTTGAATTATGTTTTGTAATATAAATTAATGAGATAAATAATAATGATAAAGTATGCAGAATTAAGTATAAATATAAAAGATAAATAAATAAATTATTGTATAGAAGATATAATAAATATTATATCTTAGATAACAAAAATAATTTACATCTTTCTATTATTATGATATCTATGAAGAATTTCCACAATATAAACATTTAGTTAAATGTTGATGTAAAATTTTAATATATTTTACATAAATTATATAAAATTTAATATTAATTAAAATTAAATCATACATGATATTTAAATACTCAAGTAATATATATCAACAAATAGAATTTTTATATAAATAATTTTTATTTAAATATTTAGAATTTCATTTGTTAAAAAAACAAATATAGAACAAGGACAATTTGGTAAAATATACATTCCAATAATATTTTATTCCTTCAACCAAACACTGTAATCTTACATTCCTGCCAAACCAACCAAACACAGTAATGTAACATTCTCAGTAATCTTATTCTCTGGTAATCTTTTATTCCCACTGGTAATCTTACATTCCGTGAACCAAACGCACCCTTGGTGTTAATTGTTGCCTTCAATATATATATATATATTCTCCCATCTTTATTTTTTGTTTCTAATAATTTGTCTTTATAACATGATTTTTCCTGCCTTTATGATATGCTATTTTGGGTTTTTCATTGATATTTTACAATTTCTGTCATTCTTTTAAAGGTTGGATTTGATGTCGTCACGATTGATCAAGATAGCGTTCATTTATTATCTCGCTAATAATCCCTGATTTGGACACTCAAATTGAATTTAGATAACGCAACTTACGTACATAGATAGTTTTCTCTTGTTTGCCTCTGATTTGGATTTACCGATGGTCTTTCAGTATTCAAATTTCCTCGTGTGATTTATTTGTCGTAACAATCAAATCTATTTGAATTTACATATTGTTCAAGTTTTTTGAATGAGTTTTCCCCCTTTTCATTGTATGATCCTTTTATGATCTTAAGTGGCTAGTTTCTTGTGTTAATCTTTATCAGAAAATACCCTAATTATGTATTTAGCTTACAAATATAGTTATAAATAGAGGTGTTAAACGGGTCATTCTAATCGGGTTTGGGTCGGATCATTTCTGATCGGGTTATTTCAGATCTAGATTATATTCACTTTAATTTTGTTCGAGAGGGATTGGGTTTGGTTCGGATTAAGTTCGGGTGTATAGTAAATTGGGTCGGTTAGGGTATTGGATCAGGTCAATTTTTGGGTCGGTTGTTTTTTGGTTCGAGTCAATATAGAATCGGTTGATATTCTGGTCGGGTTAATATCAGATCAGTTGATTTTTTTGAACGGGTCAATATCAGATATATTGATTTTCGGTTCTGATCAATGTCGAGTTGATTGATTTTTGGGTCGGGTCAATCTTTAGATTGGGTCAATTCGAATTGAATCGGATATGAGTCTAATTAAGTATATATAGAATATTGATATTATTGTAAAAAATATGTCTATATGTTTGTCAATTTTATCATATAGGCTCAATTTCAACTTTCAATCGTTCAATATTTTGAATTAAACTATTATTTAGATATGATATTTAGCTCAAACTCGATCTTATAACGCGTGCTAGAGTTTGTAACTTGAATTTTATATTGAACTGATCCAAAAAGTTAATAGGGAAAACTCTTTGATAAAAAAATAAAATTTACTATTATAAATTTTATTTTCAATCATATGTTTAATGTTTAATTATAAATATTTCTTGAATTTTTATTAAACTAATCCGAAAAGTTTATAGGGAAAACTATTTGATAAAAAAATAATTTTGCTATTATAATTCATGCTCAATTAAAATTTTCAATCATATGTTGAATGTTTAATTATAAATTATTTATTAAATTTTAAAAAATATACCTAAGTAAATTTTTAATATTTGTATTATAAATTTAATATTTTTATTAAAATTTTAACTTTGTTTACATTAATTTATTATTAAAATAACTTTGATAGTTTGAATTAAGGTGAATTCTCTTTATTTAAAATTTGTGTCTCATGTAATTTGTGTTCCATGTTATTTTGTGTTCGTAAAAAATGAAATTACTTTTCTTTTAAAGTTAATTATTATATTCCATCTTTTTTTAGTAAAATTATTATATACCATCTAAGTGGTGAAATTAAATTTAATCATATAAAATAAAGTTTGGGGTAGTAACTTGACTTTATAATACTTCATACCAATAATTTTTAATTTTTTTTAGAATTATATCGGATCAAATAGGAGACAATCTTTTAAATGATAGAAAACAAATAATAACTATTAAATTATTATCAAACGTGGTACTAGTGGTTATTAAATTATTATCAAATGTGGTACTGATGGTTACTAAACTATTATCAAAGGTGGTAATTAACTATTAATATAATGCAAAAAGAGAATAAATCATGCATCATTTTTCTATTTATCATATTGTTAACAAATATATATAATAACAATAAATTATTCAATCATTTACTCATTTATTATGTTAAAATCGGGTTAATGTTCGGTTGGAAGTGGATTTGGTTAAATTAAATTCGGATTGCTTTCGGTTTGAGTTGCTATTGTTCAGGTTATTTCGGTTCAGATTGTTTTCGATTCGGATTAATTTTGATTCGGTTTATTTTCGGTTATGATTGTTTTTTGTTCGAGTTGCTTTCGATTCGGATTATTTTTGGTTCAAACTATTTTCGATTCGGATCAAATTGGATATGGGTCCATATTGGTTCAACTAAAATTTGGATCGGTTTTTGGTTCAAGTTGGATCTGATTCGAGTTTGGATCAAGTTTAGTCATCATGTTCGGATTTATATCGAATATCAGATCGGGTAAATCGATTTAGGTAATCAAATTTGAGTCAATTTACCTGATCTAGTTATAACCCTCGTTGTAATTTTAAACATTTTTCTTTCTTAATAAAGTAGCTGCTTTTTAACTTTATAGAACTTATCAAAGTAATGAAAGATTAGCCGAGAGACATAAGATATTAATATTAGTTTAATCTAAAGTTAAGCCACTATGTTAATACCAAACTAGCTATTCAAAGGAAAGTTGTTGAACCATCCGAGAATGGAATTTTACATTCCTATCTATAATGTAAAATAACCTGATCCAAACACTCTTATTACCTAGTTCTGGAGGATTATATCCAGTATACTTCGTACAAATGCAGACACATAAACGACTTTTTAAGAAAACACCATAAACACAATTTAAAACACAAGTGCATCAAAATCCAAGGATTCAAAGCATCACAAACAAGTCAAAATTTTAAGAAACGAGTCATGTTCAACAACAAACACAAGTCAAAATTGATGGGGACAGAGTAGAACACAATCAACAAGTCAAAAAATAAAATATTCATGTGTAGTAGTACACATAAGAAGAGATTGATCAAATTTCAGAAACAAGAAGCATCACTCAGATGGCAACTGCTATCCTCCCAGCTACTTGGTCGAGGTCGCGTTGGCCATTGGATGTGATTCTCCTACCACAGATGCACCTAAAAAAACGTTAAGATACGAGGACAATAAAGTTATTTCATCCCAAAATCAACTTTCAAAAGCCAAAATACCATGATCTTTGTTTTTCCTATCTGGTTTGTCAAACCATGATCTTGACAAAAGCCAAATACTTTACCCGTGCATTATTGTTTTTACATTGAAAACAGCTTGTAGCCTCAAGTGTTGGTTTAGCATTGTTAATTTAGTTGAAAGTATTTGCAAAAGTTACCTAACAGCTTGTTTCTTGGTTAATTTCCAAAAGCATTCAGCGTAATCTATGCATTCAGTCACCCAACTATCACTTTGGTTTAGTTTTGGTCACCCATCTATTACTTTTATTCAAAAACCATACTTAAAGTTACGCTTTGATCATCCGTTGTTAAAAACTAACGATGATTTTGACATGTCACCATAAGATAATGTCACATCATCATCGTAAAAAAATTTAAAAAATTGTCACATTAACATTCAACAGTTTTATTAAATTTTAATGGTCGGTGACCAAAATGGAACCAAAACGTATCATTAAATATGATTTTGGGAAAAAATAGTTGGGGACAAAACGGAACCAAAGTTAAAGATAGGTGACTAAATTATAGTTTAGTCAAGCATTTCCTAAAGATTTTTATTTTGGAAAGGAAAAAACCTTTGGTTTGTAGTACTTTTACTATCAAAACATGCTTTGGATAGCCAAGCAATGCTAAACACACCCTTAAGACTACGGTTAAACGACATTAGCCATTTTTTTTATTGTTTATTTCAGTGATAGAGATAACCAACTATCTTAATAATGTCGCAACAGTCCTACGGTGGTTCCGGGATGGCGTTTCGACTTAGGGTAATGGAGTCACCTGATTATTTTCGAATTAGGTTAATCGGACACCTGAAACTTACCACTTATCTGATTTGTAAATTA